CCGCCACTTGAGCGGCGTCGACCTGTCCCTGCTCGGACGGCTGCACGTCGCCAAGTCCACCATGGCGTCGACCGTGGTGCACATCGCGTCGTTCGCGGGTGCGCCCGAGCGGCAGGCCGCGGCACTCCAAGCCATCATCGACAGCTACATCTACAGCAACCCCCCCAACCCGGCCACCGACGACAGACCCCTGATCCACCGCCCGCCCAGGGCGGCGGTGTGCCTGCCGCGGGAGGTGGGCCGCCTCGGGGCCCCTGACGTGCGGCTGCAGGCCACCGCGCTGCTCGCCAAGACGGCGGCGCGGCTGGTGCACCCGCAGCGCTGCGTGTGGAAGGATATCTACCGTCGGCGCTACGACACCGAACTCCCGGGGCTCGGTATTGGCGCCATGCCAACCACGCAGGTGCTCGGCACCTCGCTACCCCCGTGTAACCGACTGTCTATAAAAAAAACCACGCTTCGGCCGCGACAGGCCGCGCCGGGGCTCCCACGGCGCCTCGGCGCATACTGGGCGGCACTTCAAGCGACGCGCCTGCATCGCCTCGTCCCTCCGGGCGCCATGCTTGCCCACCAGGTCGCCCGCGAGCCCCTCGCTGGAAACGCGGCAGTAGGCCGGGCGGCACCGCCTCAGCGCTGGCGCGGCGGCAAGCTGCGGCCGAGTGGAGGGTCGCGGCCCGGCTCGGCAACCTCGACTGGTCTGACCAGGCTGCACCACCAGCCGCCGTGGCCGCTGAGTGGTCGGCCCCCGCTCGGCCGCTGGCACCCGTGCCGGAGAGGATCGCATCCATCCTGGTTGTATATGTCGGCGAGCTGTGCGTCTGTCGCGTGGCCCCCGGCCGACACGCGTCGGCGCCCTGGCGGCGCGCCGAGCCTCTCGGCAAAGCCTTCACATGGATTACAAAACAGAAGTCTGCCTGCTGTCGCCGCGCCTCCGCGTCGAGGGCCCCCAGGTCGATGGCATTGCACTGTGGGTTGCGCCCGGTGTATGGCCCTCCGGCGGGGGCGGGATCTCCCTGTAAGTCCTTGAGGGGCTGGAAGCCTCGCTCGCTCCGGCTGCTAGCGTGTGGTCTGACCACGCGCTGGCGGCGACGTCGCGTCTGTGGCGGGCTCGGGCGGCCGCATGTGTGCAGGAATTGTCAGTCTCTCGTGTAACTTCACATTTATGCAAAAAAATTCGTCCGGGGCAGAGGGTGTTGGACCAGCATCACGCGCAAACGCTGGGACCCACGCGAACTATGCGATCAAGAACCGGCACGGCCTTTCCTGCTCATGGATGTACACGGTGTTTTCGCACATGTGTTTTCAGGATGAGCCCTCATGTGTAACTACATGCATCGTCAGAAAGCACGACTGAAACGGATTGCGATTTGTGATGGTTGCAAACTCGAAACAACGTGCACCTCAACAATGTTGACCAGGGGTTGACCAGGGGTTGACCAGAAGTTGACCACCTGGGTCTTGACCACCTTGCTCACGGGCCAGTCAACGTGAGCGACCCTGTGAGCGGCCACACAAAATCAATTGTTGCTGATCGTAAGGTGGAATGTGTTCCAGCAGGGGGGCTGCATGTAGGGTTTTTTTAATACATGTGAAGTTACACGAGAGACTGACGACACCTGCGAAGATGCGGCCGCCCGAGCCCGCCCCAGACATGGCGTCGCCGCCAGCGCGTGGTGGGACCGCAAGCTGGCAGCCGGAGCGAGGCCCCCAGCCCCTCAAGGACTTACGAGGAAACCCCGCCCCCGCCGGGGGGCCGCGCACTGGACGCAAAACACCGCGCAATGCCACCTGAGAGCGAGTAGTGATCATTGCGGGACCGTGAGGAAGGCTGCGGCTGCGGGGAAACCCGGGAAAACCGCCTGGCCCGAAGCTGACGCCTGGCCAGCCCTGTCCTCCCACCTCGAAAGCGGCCCGGGCCGAGGGGGAGTGAGCTCACGATCCATTCAGGACAAGAAACAGCATGCCAGGCCGGCACACGCGCCTGGCCTGAGCGAGGCCGCGATTAATGAGAGACCGAGGCATGAAAGCATGTCAGAGCACACGAAACTGAAGGACCTGGAAGTTTAGCACCTGCGTGCCCCACTCCGTTTGACACCACTACGGCGGCCCAGCCACCACCGGCGGCCCGCCGGTGCCGGCGGCCCCGCAGCCGCCGCCGCTCGGGTTGATCGCTGGTGGCAGCAACTGCAATTGCGACAGCGGCCATGGAGGCGATGGATGGAACCCGCACGCTTGCTGCCCGGTGCCCTGGCTTTGCTGGGACGGTTACGCAAGATGCACCTTGCCCCTGGCTGCAAATGTTACCCAGGCCACCCCACCCCTTCGCGTGACATTTCGAATTTCTCTGAGCAGCAAAGAGCTGAGGGTGCTGCTGATGGAAGCGATGACGGGTCCTTGAGGTCACCTGTGACTGTAGGCCTACATCGTACCTCGCAACTCGCCTGCGTGCACCTCCCATGCATGCTGTGAACGCCTGCTTGTTCAACTGTCCATTGTGCATTCAAAGGACTGCGGGACGACGCTGCAACAGTTTACCCCATCCCTGCTGCCCGCGCACAAGCTTGTCGGGCATCAATGGAAAGGGGGACTATGAACAGCATGAAAGGGGCCGTCCCATTCACACCATGAAGTAGTGACTAGGAGCTATGAAGATGGCGGTATTACCAGCCGGAGGGGAGTGCAATGAGGGCACTCGTTTTGCTGTCCTGATGCAAGAAGGTGTTGAGACAGAGTTGGTGTACATGAAACTGACGGACACGGTGCCGTCAAAAACCTCACAGAATCGATGGTAACATGTACTAATGAGCAAAGGCAGACACACATACGTGTGAACGGAGCTGTGTCAAACAAGCTAGCGGGAGTCTGTGCAGAAAGCTTGCGTAGAAAGCAAAAAAAGTCAATTTGCACAAAAAAGTGGAACATCGACCGTGCCTGCCCCCTGCACGTCTGTGGTGTCACGCCCCACTAATACCAGCTTTGCCGCTGCCGCGCCTGTTGCCGCCGCCGTCTACCCCGTCCCCTGCCCCAACGCCGCTGCTCGGCGCGTCCGCCGTCCAGAAGCCGTACGCCAGCAGCGCCGCCTTCAGCTGCGGCGTGAGGCGCTGCGAGCTGAGGGCCTCCGCCGCGGCCGCGCGCGCGTGCTCCATGAGCTGCGGCGTCCGCTTCAGCTCCTGCATGCAGAGCGCGGACAGGCCGCCGCGGCTGCCCGACTGTTTGATGCCGAACGGGTCTCCGGGGCCCCTGATTCGGCACGCAGGCGGTCACAGGTTGCGGAGTGGGAGGCCGTACTGTGCGCCAGGTGCCGATCACCAAACAGCCAGTGTGGCAGCGGCCCGTAACGCTGTGCTTGCAGGGCTTTGCGTCATACAAAAGCAGGCGAGCATGCATGGCCATCACCCTGAACACCATCCCTGTGAGCGAGTCAGCAGCCCGTCACGGTTTTTGTCTCCAGCCGTGGTCGTCGGGCCCTCTTCACCCTCCCCTGGCCCTGCTCACCTGGTCTGCAGGTCGGCCTCGGCGATGTGCAGCCCGTTGTGGCTGCGCTCCATCACCGCCAGCCGCGCGAGCGCCGCCTTGTCGCCGTCAGGGGCCATCAGGAAGCACCTGCCCGGCCCAAAGGGGGGGGGCGGCACAGGGCGCCAGGGTTGGCAAGAGGCAGGAGGGGGCCGGACAATGCAGAGTCCAGACAGGCAGACCGAGCGTGCGTGCGGCCCGCTTTGCCGGCGGCGGCCGCCTCGACGTCCACGGGCACAGGCACGGCCGGCGGTGCGCCGCTCGGGCGCGTGTGGGCCAGCGCAGCCCCGACCGCGCCCGCTTGCCCACCTGCTGTGACGCGCGCCGCGCCCGACGCGGCCGCGGAGCTGGTGCAGCTGCGCCATGCCGAAGCACTCCGCGTTCTCCACCAGCATGACCGAGGCCTCGGGCTCGTCGATCCCGACCTCCACCACAGTGGAGGCTATCAGCACTGGGGTCTCGCCGCTGAGATGAGGGGCAGCAGGCGTGAAGGTAAGGGGTGGGGGGGCTAGGAAGAGAGGGGGCAGGGTTTCATTTACTAGGAGAAAGCACCGTCGGGTCGATGGAGATTGGGAGGGCGACGCACGCGTGGTGTATACATGTGCTCACGTCATTTGCATGCGTGTGCACGTGTTTGTGAACGCGCCCTTCCGCACTTGGAGCCGCAGCCCCGCGCCGTCCAAGGCCTCTGCCCTGCCCCACGCCCGTCGCCCGGCGACCGACCCCCTCTTCCCTGCATTCTCACCCTCGCCCCGCCCGTCCTCAGCCACACCAATACCAAACCCCCAGCCGACCCCATCAGGCAGCAGCCGGGCCCCGGTCCCGCCCCCCTTCCCCCACCCACCTGGAGAACTGCTGCAGGGCGCGCGCCTTCTCGTCCCCTGACATGCGCCCGTGCAGCAGCCCCACCCTGTGCTCCGCGCCAAACACGTTGGCGCGCGACAGCCGCGCGTACTCGTCCATCACAGTCCGCCGCGGGTCGCCGGCCGCGCCCTTGCAGTCCTGAGCCTCCCCGCCGCCGGCGGCGCTGCTGCTGCCTTTGCCGCCGCCGCTGCTGCTGCTGTCGCTGCTGCCGCCGCCGCGCGCCGCGTTGGCGGCGGTGCTCAGGACGAGCGGGCAGACGATGTAGACGCGCCCGCCAGCTGCCAGCTCCTGCCTGATGACGTCATACACCTGGGCGGCGCGAGGACGGGGTTTAGCGGAATTTGGGGGGACAACCAGACGCGGCGCACCCGGCAGAGCGCAGCGTGGCGCCCGACTGAGGCGCGGCCCCGCTGCCATGGCACGCCCGTGATTTTGACAATGCGAGGGGGGCGCGTCTAGGTGCGCGCATGGCCGCCAAGCTCAGCGCGGCTGTGGGGAGGTATGGACTTCCGCAATGAGACGTCGATCCCGGGCATACTGCAGCCCCGCCCGAACACTAGGCTGGCCCGAGGCAGCGGCGGACACCCCAGCCTCGGGCCGCCGTGCGCGAGCCAGCGCTGCGCCGCGCGCTGCCGTGCCGCCGCGCCGCACCTCTTCGCGGCCGTGCGCGTCGTCCACCACAACACGCGTGGCTATGGGGCTGCGGCCGGGGGGCATCTCGTTGATGGTGCTGAGCACCAGGGAGCCGTACCTGGGGTGGGCAGGGGCGGCAGGGCAGGGAGGGGGGGCAGGGCCAAGGGTCGAGGGCGAGTGACGGGGAAGGGGGGTGCGGCGGCGGCAGCCGGGGCGGCGATGATGGCGGCG